ATAAAACGCACTGTTTGCAATAAAACAAACAATTAGGTTATTACTCTAGTCAATGGCTTACATTGAACAAGAGAATTTTCTAAGGTAGTACGTTGATATTCTAAAAAGTAAACCTGTCATAATATTTAATTTATTTTAATATTTAATTTATAAATATAGATTGATAATTTATTCCTGAGACTATTAGTCATTTTGCAATTGTTTTCGATAAACATATGTTACTGTTTTAATACTTATTATACCCTTTCCCATTTTCCAAAACCAGCATTTGTGAAGCCTTTAAGTTGCTACTAGTAATATTTTTTATTTGCCACTGGTGAATGGATGTTTCTTATGGACTCCAGGACCATTTTGTTGGTGACAGTGCTGCATTTATTCCTTAAAAGTATATTGACAACAGTAGCTAAAGAGCTTTTTTAACCTGTGTATCTTGCCAACCCTTTTCTTACATAATGTCTTATAAAATATCCATGTTTCATCTAATTAAAAAAATATTTTTGTCTTATCTTATTAATTTTCTAATTTCCCTTAAATATTGCGTCCTTCAACAAATAATTTCATATTTCTCTATGAGTGCAGATTTTCTATAGTTCTTCTCCCAAACGAAGTTTAATTTATATAAAGTTTTCCACAATTTGTCTCTTATAACGTTTGGCGAAGTTTCGTCTGCATTAATGTCTACTAAAATTTATCCAAAGTAGGGATCTTTTTTTTTGTAAATAAAACAAATGTACTTTTCTTTGGTTCAGTTGTTTCATAGAACCGTTTATTTAAATAGGTTTTCCCCCAGTTGACGTTTTAGGAGCTACTGTAATACTTTCATCCTTTCGTTGCTTCAAATATCTATAAATGGTTGCTTCTATATCTCAGGTCATATTTAAATACTTAGAAACTATACTCCAAACAGTACGTACTATTAAAATATTTATGTACAAGATCGTCATGTACATTTAACACTAAAGTTTTCATATGCACGGTTAAATTGCATTTCTCAGGAGTAGACTTTTGTGCTATTTTTATTGCACAAATTACAGAACTAACAATTCTGCGTGTAACATCACAGGACTATACAACCAAAAATGCAAATCTCAACTAAAATAATTTACAATTTGCATTACTCTTTCTGCATAATAAAAATTTTAATCCTTTCTAAGAAATTTGAGGGCTTATTAAATTGATCCTAAACTGTTAATATTTTCTACTTGTAGATATTACATACTCACTTTATTTTTGTTAATTAAAATTACTAAAAATTGTAAAACAAGAATTGAAATAAATCGGTATTTTCAAAATTTCAGGAAGAAAACCAAGATATTATTTTGGAATAAATAATGCTATACAATTTTATATTATTTATAATATTATATTGAGGTTTATCTCCTGGGTCATAAAAATTTATTATCAAATATACTATAACTGCAAATTTATTTCTACTTTCTGGCTAATTCATTATTAGTAAATACATAATTTATTGCTATTTGATCACTGATTCATTACAAATTTCTTGTTAATTTATTGCTATTCTTGATTTATTTATTGTTGATTTATTGATAATCTATTACCTATTAATTAATAATTTATTGCTAAGTTGTTGCCAATGTGTTACTGTTTTATGTACTATTTTATTACTATTTAATCGCCATTTTATCGCTATTTGATTGTTATTATATTACTATTAATTGTTATTTTATTGCTAATTTATCGCTATTGTAATGGTATTTTATCGCAATTTTATTTTTAATGTATCATATTGCAAAATGTTCGTTCTTTGTTAATTTATCGCTAAATAATTTCTAATTTATAGCTTATTTGTAGGTTCGCCTGAACAATTATAAATATCTACGGTTAAATCTTAAATAACCTCGAATAATACTCTCCATTTTCCAACGCAGAAAAAATAGCGACATACATGTCAGTTCGTTTAATCCCACCCTCGATATTGTTGAACACTGAAAGAAAAGCTTTGCGAAGAAACCAGTCAAAAGCTAACGTGCACAACGACGCAATAAGCGATAGACAAAGGACGGATTTCCGCGTCTAGGAACACATGTATAACCTTTGAAACCTAAGTAATTCGCTTTAGTGTAACTACGGTGCTGCGTTGCACAATTTTTGATTTTAACTACCTACGGAGAACTTGCGTATTTTGTTACTTCTATGTATTGTTCCAAGTAACGTCCAATAGCTACTTATTATTAGCTACTATTAGAACTTTGCGAGGAAGCAAGGTTTCGGATTATAACTTTGAGTATAAACGAAGTTCTTCTTTACATTGATTAATACAGATTACGATCAATTGACTTTATAACTGTGTGTAAAAGCCGTAGTCACAGCTCTTTTTAAAATAATTGCCAACATGTAAATCGTTAGAGATAGAAATGTCAATGTCCTTTCAAAAAAAAGTGAAGTTGAACGATGCCATGATTTTTTAATTAAACTTTAAATATTTAGTAAAATAATTTTTTTTATTACTATTTAATAATATACCCTTTGCGAGCAATTTTAATAATTACGATCTGATCATTATAAACGATTAAAGAGTAAGTAAATTCCAACCTAATTGACTACGGTTTTGAAACTTTTTAACCGACTTCAAAAAGGAGGAGGTTCTCAATTCGTCGTAATACCTTTTATATGTATGTTCAGCGAGAATTGTTCAACGCGGTATCCGATTTCAATGATTCTTTTTTGTTAGAAAGGGAGTACCTCAGGGGTGATGCCATATACATTTTCTCAAAATCTATGTCCATGAGTCCATGAGAAAAATCATCAAAATCTTCAATTTTACTTTCCTCTCTGTATACAGATAAGGAAAGTATAGGAACCATGATTTTTTCGACCTCCAGTTTTCGACGGATATTTACGTTTTGGAGTCCCCTGAATCAGTTTCCACTATTTTCGGGATGATGTCTGTGACTCTCTCCCTGCGCGCGCGCGCGTGTGTGTGTGTGTGTGTGTGTGTGTGTGTGTGTGTGTGTGTGTGTGTGTGTGTGTGTGTGTGTGTGTCTGTGTGTCTGTGTGTCTGTGTGTCTGTGTGTCTGTGTGTCTGTGTGTCTGTGTGTCTGTGTGTATGTGTGTCTGTGTGTCTGTGTGTCTGTGTGTCTGTGTGTCTGTGTGTCTGTGTGTTGTGTGTTGTGTGTTGTGTGTTGTGTGTTGTGTGTTGTGTGTTGTGTGTTGTGTGTTGTGTGTTGTGTATTGTGTGTTGTGTGTTGTGTGTTGTGTGTTGTGTGTTGTGTGTTGTGTGTTGTGTGTTGTGTGTTGTGTGTTGTGTGTTGTGTGTTGTGTGTTGTGTGTTGTGTGTTGTGTGTTGTGTGTTGTGTGTTGTGTGTTGTGTGTTGTGTGTTGTGTGTTGTGTGTTGTGTGTTGTGTGTTGTGTGTTGTGTGTTGTGTGTTGTGTGTTGTGTGTTGTGTGTTGTGTGTTGTGTGTTGTGTGTTGTGTGTTGTGTGTTGTGTGTTGTGTGTTGTGTGTTGTGTGTTGTGTGTTGTGTGTTGTGTTGTGTGTTGTGTGTTGTGTGTTGTGTGTTGTGTGTTGTGTGTTGTGTGTTGTGTGTTGTGTGTTGTGTGTTGTGTGTTGTGTGTTGTGTGTTGTGTGTTGTGTGTTGTGTGTTGTGTGTTGTGTGTTGTGTGTTGTGTGTTGTGTGTTGTGTGTTGTGTGTTGTGTGTTGTGTGTTGTGTGTTGTGTGTTGTGTGTTGTGTGTTGTGTGTTGTGTGTTGTGTGTTGTGTGTTGTGTGTTGTGTGTTGTGTGTTGTGTGTTGTGTGTTGTGTGTTGTGTGTTGTGTGTTGTGTGTTGTGTGTTGTGTGTTGTGTGTTGTGTGCTGTATGTTGTATGTTGTATGTTGTGTGTTGTGTGTTGTGTGTGTGTTGTGTGTTGTGTGTGTGTTGTGTTTATGTGTTTTGTGTTTATTTGTTGTGTGTGTGTTGTGTGTGCGTGTGTTGTGTGTGTGTGTTTGTGTGTATGTGTGTGTGTCTGTATCCACCATAACTCATGAACCGATACAAATAAAAACAATAAATTTTATTTATTCCGGCGTTTAATTAACTGATTAGATTTTGGGCAGAGTCGGAACATCTGGGAGGGTACTTTATTGGTGGTCATTTTTATATTTTATAAAGAAGAAAATTCTTTAAATAAAAGTTACTTACAATATTATTATCAATATTTTTTGTTTTTTACAAAATTTTCCTTAAATGGTCCGTATTCGAGAAAATTGACAAAATGTAAAAAAATATTTTTTTTAAAAAATTGTTTAAATAACAGTTGTTATATAATTCTCTATAATTTTTATTAGAGATGCAATGGATAGTTTTTTGGCCGGATAACGGATACCGGATATCCGGCGAGCTTCAAGGCCGGATAGCCAAATATCCGGCCCAACGTCTAGCGCCTGATGTGAGGATTCGAACGTCGCGCAGGCGCAGCGAACGTGATTAGCAGGCCGAAGAAGATCGTGTGGCCATTGTAAGGCAAATCATTTGTTTGCTCGCTGCTTGCTACGTGATCTGCGTCGTAGAGTTAAGTTTACCAGAGCATCAATTAGTGCAGGATATCAACACGAGGTGGAATTCTATCTTCTACATGGCAGAACGCTTGTTATAACAAAAACTGGCAATCTCTCTTTATATAGCTGATCACGATGACACACTCACTAATTTAATCACTCATCAGTGGTTCTTGATGGAGCAGTGTGTAAAACTCTTAAAGCTATTCAAAGAAATAACTAAAATCACAAGTTCTGTCCTTTCCTGCATATCCGAAGTTATACCACATGTAGCTGCATTAATAAAATACTTGGACACCAATGAGACTGCGCAACGAACAGCTGACGTAACTCAAATGAGAACCTTCTTAAAAGCTGAATTGGAATCTCGCTTTAGCTCCTTGAGTGAAAATCCGACTTACCTTATTGCAACTTTTTTATACCCCAGATTTGAAACAAACTATTTGGGAGCAGTTGAAGCCGAAAGAGCGCGACAGAAGATCTTATTGGAATACCTAAAAATGACTTGCGACGAGTCTTCTAACAGCCTAATACCTATTAAAAGAGTCAGTTCAAATGTAACTTGCGAATCTCACGACAAATTTTGGAATTGTTTAGATGAACTAGCAAATGAAAATAATAGTCAATGTCGCGATCAGGAAAAAAACCCAATTGCAAACGAGATCGACTACTATTTGAAGACAGTTCGAATTGATTGCAGCCGCGACCCTTACACTTGGTGGTCAGTTAACTCAAAACACTATCCATATTTAACCAAGTTTGCCAAAGTGTACCTTTCAGCTCATTGCATCAGTGTTTATAGCGAGAGACTGTTTTACGAAGCTGGCTTGGTGTACGAAAACAAGCAAGCAAACTCTGAAAATTTGGTCTTTATTCACCATAATTTACCACTTATTAATTTTGACTAATAAGAGATAGTTTTAGGTTTTCAGAAGGTTATTTTTTTTGTTCTTTGTGACTTTTTGTGTTTTTGTAACTTCTTCAGCTTTAAATAAAAGAAAATCATAAGTTTAAGCCATTTTGTTATTATTAATAATTATTATTATTTACCACAAAAAGATTTATGTATTAAAGTTGATTTCAGGGAATTGTCACGAATTGTGTCGTAATTATTAAATATCCGGTATCCGGCCGGATATTAAGCTACTATCCGACATACGGCCAGATATTAAATATAGGCCGGATATGCCGAATACCGGATAATGATTGAACAAATTTTTTTAAGTTATTTATGTAAAGGTTTTAGCTTTGCTATCCAAATTTGTTTTTTTAAATTTAAATTTGTGCATACATTAAACATTTTATAAATTTTCATATTTTAAATCTCCTAGATTACTTAATTTCTACATTCTTGAATTTCTAATTTTTTAAATTCTTAAATTTTAAATGTTTTTAAATTATTATAATTCTAAATTTTGAAATTCCTAAATTCCTGAATTTCAAAATTCCTGAGTTACTAAATTAAATTACTGAATCCCAAAATTTATACATTGGTGATTGAAAATATTCACGAATAGACGCCTCTTGAAAGAGGTAATAGAAAGGTTTTTTAGAGAATCTGTAACATTTTTATATTCTTTCGATATCTGATCTATCATTGCGATAAAATTTGTATCCTGCAACTTTAATAGAATCATCAGATATACTTTTATTCAACCACGATTCAGATATACAGAATATATCGTAGTTTTCATTTGCAATTTTATTCCTGACAAAATTAATTTTAGGAAATAATGACCGAGTATTCCAATGGCAAATGCACAAATTTTTAAACTCCATGTTTATAAACCTAATCTACACGGAAAAAAATGTGACTAGAAAATTTTACTACAATGTTGTAGTAGTAGACTTGTAGAAAAATACTTACTTTTTTGTAGAAAATTTTACTACAATTTATAGTTAAAAACTATTTATTATTGTAGCAATTGAATTGTCGAATAAAATGCTACAACAATAGGAAAAAAGTCCACAATGTTTAGTATATTTTACTATTGTTTGTAGAAGAAGAAATTTATTACAATTTTCGTAATTACTACTACTAAATTCTGTAAATATTTGTACAAATATTAATAATTATTTTTACAAAAAATAGTAATTTTCTCTACAAAAAATAGTAATACTTTACATCTTATGAAAAAAATTCAATTTTGTTCAAAAATATTCTATAATATTGTAGAAATTCTAAGTCATGTGAATAAAGCAGAATTCTGCTATTGGCCAACGTTTTCTGACGTCGATCATAAATGGCCATACAGCAATAGCCTTTCGCCATGTTCACAAAACAAAGAATGGTACATATACGAGTACCTATAACACATTATTATATTATAAACACCGATGCGTTTGAGAAAATTTTAATAATAACTTCTATTAGTGGTAAGTACATTTATTATTGTTTCTGAATAATTTACCTTTAGATAACTAATTTAAATAACTTTAGTAGATTATTTTAAAATAAATGGTTGTGGTCAACGATCGAATGTTGTGCCCAACGATCGAATGTTGTGCTAAGTTCAATGATGTTTTTTTGTCATAATTGTGGCATACCTACTTTCTCATTTTTGTGAGTTATCTGAATTAGTCATTTTATATCCAAATCAGTGTAAAGGTGATAAATATCCCCGTTTTAAGGGGATGAACAGTTCAATTGGTATTAATTTTTATTTCATATTTTTCAGGTGCAGAATAGCCAACTGAGACTGAGGGCGCTATTATTACTGTTATTTATTACATAATGTAATTAAAAATTTGTATCTTTTATATTAAAACAATAAATTGAATATTTTATTAAGGAACATTTTTTCTAGGTTATAATTATAATAATTACAAAATACTACTACAAATTTTTTTAAAAATTACTACAATTTGTATGAATTTGTACTATTTATTGTGTAAAATTTTCGTATTTATTTTCATAAAACGCAATACATTTTTAATATAAATTCATACAATGAATAGCAAAAATTATAACAATTTGTAGAACAATTCTTATAATGAATTTGGATATTTTTACTAAATATTGTAGATAATAACTCTACAATACATTCTCTACAAATATTTGGAAATTTTTACTACAAATTGTCCCTGTCCCTATATAAACTATTTATTGTAGAGAAAAGATGTATAATTGTAGAAATTTGTTCTACAATTTTTTTTCCGTGTAAACAGAGAAAAATAAAATTCAATAATTTTTATAGAATACTATTCCACCAAGGTATTGCGATAAGTTAACCAATGTAAAAATGTTATTTTTAAACTAAATATAAAAAGAAAAATGCTTATAAAATTTACTTGGCAACGAGTCAAATTCAGAATTTATTTCTTTATTTGCTTGGAACTTCTTGTCTTTGGGCTGTACTGAGCATTAGATTTCTTGGACTTCTGACTAACTTTCTTCGACAGCTTCTTTTTTTCGGCCGAGTGTGATGAAATTATTGCATTGACTGACGATGACGTAGATCCTTTTTGACATCTGCTATTTACTTTAGTTTCTATGTCTCCTTCCTCTGAGTCACTGAAAGAGACTAGACTTTCTTCTAATTCTTTTAGATCTTCTACTGTATATAGTTTGTCTTCGATCTCCAGTGAAAAACCTTTCATGCGGGCGGAAAGATTTTGGATTTTGGCTTCTTTTAAATGATGTACTAATGTTCTTTGTTTAGTTCGGTCTTCGTGGGAAGCATCGTTGGCTATCGCTATACCAGTACCCTTCAATTTTTTAACTTTTTTATATATCTCTTGTTTTTTTAGGCGAGAAATAAATTCTAAAACAATAGTTTCTTTTTTGTCCAATAGGTATATGTTATTGATATCGTGATGGGTAATTTTGATTCTCAGGAGGTTGTTTAAATTGTCAGTAACTTCTTGCAGCAAATTTAATTTATTTGTTACGACCATACCAAAAATTACTATGTTATTTTTTCACACTTTTCTCTCAACAGAATTAATCTTATTTTGAAGTAACCCTACTAACTTTTTGTTTCCTTCAAGATCAATCACAATATTATCAATTATGCTAGAGATTTCTTTTTTTATAATATTCGTCTGCAATGAATTAGCCTTTTCTACAATTTTTTCAATAAGGGTAGTTAGCTCTACAGCCGAAAGTTCTTGAGGATATTTACTGGTGTTTGCCATGCTGTGATTATCATTTATTTTCTGTGGTGGAATAAACAAGTGGCAATTGATATTGATATTGATATGCTTTTTCTTGTAGGTACGACCAAATCAACTTTTTGTGCAGCGATTCGACAGGCGATCTACGCCTTTATTTTAATAGTAATTAGGGATTTGCTGAATATCTAACTATATAATTATTGCAAAGACTTAATTGAGTTTGAAGTAGGTGCATATACACCAGACTTAGTTTCTTGCGTATTTTAGTCACTATTATTCACTTTTAACTCTTTGAAATATGCGATTTATTTGGAGCTCTCTAGCACGCGTCTTAGTCTGTCGAGTTCAATACAATAAAATGACTTCTAAGACTAAGAAAAGACCATCAACCGGACATATTAAGGATGTTTTCAAGAAATTTAAAGCTTCCTTATAACCTTTAAACTTACTGAAGTATAACGATATTACGCATTAAAAGCAATTTTGTTCCATACATTCACATGTACTCTTAGATAACTTGAGAGTTGCTTCTGTCGAAAGTGACGATTCGGATAAACCACGTCCAATTATGGAACTTAAAGCAGTTTGCCAAGATTATGATGGAGAGGATTCTGAGCAAATAAAGAAATTGAAAATTACATCTGGATAGTTTTGAGTACTTTTTAATTCTCAATTGCTATTTTGTGTTTACTGTTTTTACAATTATTATAAAATAAAAAATACAATTCATGTTCACTTTTTACCTTTTAAAAATGTTTTATTTTTCATTTTACACACTTACAACATTTTACGTTTTCTAACTCATACTCTGTAACATTGAAAAACGATCATTTTCCCTAGACTGTGATTGTTTTTGTCAAGTTTTAAGGGAAGTTATGTTGCATTTTCCGTTTAGAATTTGGCAGCTCATAATATAAACATTTGTAGGTGTTTTGCAGATAAATATATTGGCAATAATAATACTTTGTAACTGTTACCATTAAATATAAGTCTATAAACTTTGTTTTGTTTATTCTACAAAAATTAGTTTTTGTGATGTTGGTCCTATTTCCCCTGCGCTCTTCATGTTTAATTTTTTTGGCCGCTTTTTCGTAATCTGTTCCTTTTGCTAGAATTATAGTATGGTCTGCGTAAGGGGTTTGAACTGAATATTTCTGAAGAAAAAAAGGTACGCCATTACTTTTTCTAAAAACTAAAATAATGTTTGAAATCCTTATTTATTTTAAAGCAATTTAGTTAATAGTCTTACTTTCGTATGATGCACCTTTTTTGCGTAAAAAAATAAAACCAAAAATGTTTCCATTAAAACTGCTTTTGATATTTTATTAAAATTTGGTAGGCATAACATGCGTGAAAACAATTTTTAGGATCAAAAATAAAAAAATTATGATAAAAAAAGTTATTTTGTTCTTAAAACTGTAACACCCTATTGCTTAAGAATTAAAAGTTTTACGACATACGTTGATAAAACCTTTTCTTCTTAAAATTACCAAAGGTTACACACCCTTGAGTCTTAGCTCTTAATTTTTAAACACCCTGTATAGAATGCAACAAATAGTCCGCATATTCGAACACTGGATAGAGGTCCAAGCCTAGAGATAGTAGCAACAAAATCCGAGGCCATTATTGTCATGAAACCACGAATGAGGGATAGAATCTATTTACAGATAAAAGACTTCTTATACATACGTAAAATATCTAGGCGTATTGATAGATGATAGGGTGAGTTTCGCCGCATCACATTAGAAAGATCTACGAAAAAGCAAATCGCCAGGTTTTATCCCTAGTGTTA